CACTGAGACTGCACTTGTAAAAGTTTTAAATGACATTCATCTGAGCAGTGATGCATCAAAGATTTCGGTTCTGGTATTACTGGACCTCAGTGCTGCATTCGACACAGTTGACCATAACATACTGCTCGACAGACTAGAAAAGTTTGTGGGACTTTCTGGCACTGTGCTAAATTGGTTTAAATCTTATTTACAAGACAGGGATTTCTTTGTGTCACTTGGCAATTATGAATCTGTGCGAACAAAAATTACATGTGGAGTTCCTCAAGGGTCCATTCTTGGGCCTCTTCTGTTCAACATCTATATGCTCCCTCTTGCTCAGATTATGGAATATCATAACATCTCCTACCATACTTATGCAGATGACACACAACTTTACATAACAGTGTCACCAGATGACTACAGTCCCCTACATCTGCTAAATAAGTGCATTGACGAAATCAATACGTGGATGTGCCAGAATTTTCTACAACTAAACACAGACAAAACTGAGATAGTTGTTTTTGGCCCCAAAGAACAAAGATCAATAGTCAGTGCTCACCTTGACGCCATGACACTAAAACCTACAAATCAAGCCAGAAATCTTGGTGTAGTTCTGGACTCAGACCTAAATTTCAATAGTCACATTAAGACAATTACTAAATCAGCCTACTACCACCTTAAAAATATAGCGAGAATAAAAGAATTTCTGTCTAAACAAGATACAGAAAAACTTGTTCATGCTTTCATTTTCAGCAGGTTGGACTATTGTAACGGTGTCTTCACAGGCCTGAGTAAAAAATCAATCAGACAACTGCAGCTCGTCCAGCTGGCTGCTGCCAGAGTCCTCACCAACACCAAGAGAGTGGAGCACATTACACCAGTGCGTAAATCACTGCACTGGCTTCCTGTGTGTCAAAGAATAGACTTTAAAATCTTGTTGTCTATAAAGCACTAAATGGTCTCGGGCGTAAATACATCTCTGATATACTTGTACGTTATGAAGCATCCAGACCCCTCAGATCATCTGGAACAGGTTTATTCAGTGTTCCCAGGATCAAAACCAAACAAGGTGAAGCAGCCTTTAGTTTCTATGCTCCCCGCCTGTGGAACAAACTTCCAGAATATCTGAGGTCGGCTGAAACTGTCAACTCATTTAAATCAGGGCTTAAGACATTACTATTTACTGCAGCTTACCAGTGAACTACTGTTTTTAACTATTTATTTTCTTGCTTTTAGCTCTTGTTTTTAATGATCTATTGTTTTTAATGTATTTCTCTTGTAAAGCACATTGAATTGCCTTGTGTATGAACGGTGCTATATAAATAAAATTGTCTTGCCTTGCTGCGAGGCTGAAGAAAGGTATTTAAAAAAAAAAAATAGTGAGACACAATCAGGATAGTTGAAAGGTAGGCCAGTATATACATACGATAAAACAACAACTGACATTATGAAAATTTGGAGTAATGTAAAGTGTAAATAAATTCTAAACAGGTAGTTGCAGAGTGATATCACAATCTTTGGCAACATTTTGTTATCTAATAACTTTTATCTTAGAACGATGAATGAGTGTAAATTTTAACTTCATATGGGGGAAACAATGTCAGTACATAAGGAAGAAGGACATGGTTAAAAACTATGAAGATGGGGATGTGAATGTGATTGATTCTGATATCCTGAATGGTGTCCTGAAATTAAAATGCTTAAAATCTTTCATTACGAATAGTCACTCCTTTTGGTTTATTGTCCCCAGTGTAATTTTTTTTTTCTTACATTGTGACAATGAGTGTAACTCTTTATAATTAAACTATCTGCTTTCCATCAGCAAGTCCATCTCTGTTGGAAATTAATATATAAACGTAATTTCACACTACATGACACACCAGTTTGGAACAACAGATACACATTGCTCAGCAGAAAATCTGTGTACATAGAGGAATGGGTCTCCACAGGGATTTGGGCTGTTGCTCATTTTATGGATGGGAATGGAAATGTATTACAGCATGAGGAGTTTTGTGAGAAATTCCAACTCCAGTGACCTGATATACTAAAAGCCATACCACTGTCTCTGAGGTCAGTGGTTAAAGAAAACCTTCTGTACTTTAAGGTCTGTCCTGGACTGAGACAGCTTTGATTTTTGTGACAGTGAATGTACCAACAAAGTTCTGTGAAACTTTTTATTAAAGGTATTTTTCCTCAACTCAGTAAGAGGAAATCATATTCTCAAGGAATTTCCACTGCCTCATACGGTAAAAAAGTGCACTTCAGCGTTTTAAATGAGATTCATCCAATGAACAAACTCTTATAGCTGAGATTTAATTTTGATGTGAATAATTTTACATTTTGTGAAAGGAAAATTGAATCTTTGTTACATGTGTTTTTCTATTGTATATCAGTGCAGGCCCTCTGGGGCGATGTGCAGTGCTGGCTACAGTCCAGGGAGATTGAGTTGTCACTCTTGAAAGTGAAGAGTCATATTTGGTGTTTGTGTTGAAAACAAGGAAGCAGACTTGGTTCTAAATATTGTCTTGTTACTAGGGAAGTCTTTTTTTATACATGAATGCAGATAATTTAAGACTAAACTCAGTCTGAAGCACCGGGAGAGACAGTTAAAACTCAAGTAAATCACTGAAACTTGTTAAAGACAAGGCAGCTCTTATATAATTTTAATTACTAGATAAGTTTAAGTTAATTTGAAAGCCCTGTTTTTGTTTTATTAGTGTATATCTATCATTTTGTATCTGGTTCTTATATTTGTTTGCTAGTTCCATTTCAGCATATGTGCTATTTCACTTAAAGCTAGAAAGTGCATGCAAGTGCTGCACCAGCATGTTGCTACTTGCATGAATCTTAACAGCCACATAAAAAAACTTGTTTGTTTCAGAATGGTTCCTGACTAACAAACAAGGGAAGCTAAACATCCATCATCTCATGTCATAAAAGCACCAACAAGTGCTTTGACGTAAAACAGAGCTTTAAATATTGCTCTACTGTTGGAGCAGGACTGTGCCACATGCAAACTGAGGAGAACCAGAATTTCTAGAAGTGCTCCTGCTGTCAGAAGTCACAAGATCCTCAGCAGTCTGTCAGCTCATACTTTATGACTGTTTAGCTGGGTGGAGGTACCCATAGACAAACATGTCAACTTGAATGCAGTATGAGCTTTATCCACTCAGCATGAAGAGAACAAGAATAGCATCCTAGTATAAGAATAATTGGTGATCGTAAAAAAACAATCAAAATAGTTGTGGTACACGCCTACAAGACCAAGTTAGAAGGCATGTTTATTAAATATATGACACCATATTTATTTTCAGTTTAGAATAGTAGAGAACTAAGTGTTCATTTTGTTTTGTTTCTGTGGAGTTACAGTGTACAGTCACTCTTTCCTCTCTTGGCAGCCAGGCGCTGTGTGCCCATCCATCTCCATTAAACTGGTGCGCCAACACTGAACTGAGAATACCAACTCACAAAAATAAAATCCTTTTGAGTCCTTATTTTGCAGCTTTTGCAAATGAAAGTAGGAACTAACCATGAAACAGCATTTTGTTACCTGAGTCATATCTGCACTGCTGGATTTCTCCTTTTCTTCTGATGACTGCACTGTCTGTTGAGTGGATCACATAAATGATCTCTTTTACATATAAACACATTGTGGCAGTGTGTGTGTGTTACACTACCATTGTATTTGTTTGTGAACTCACTGAATTGACATTTGAAAACATACATCATCATAAACCATGTCAATTGTGTTTCATTCGAAATGTTTCAATCAGTTAAAGAAGAGAAGGTGGAATACGCCAGTCCATAGGGTGTCACTTTGTTTTGACATTTTTTGTTCAACCAAGAAAAAAAAGGCCCTAACTGATTAATATCAAAATACTGTATGTCTTTAAATCATCTATAAGACTAGCAGGAGTTGCAACAACGTCAAAGTAATGAGCAATAATTTGTTGATTACCTCTCCTATCCCACTGTCTGGCACACCTCAGTGACGCTGAATAAGCCGTTAATCAGCATCCTGCTGGGTATTAACTGAACGTCACCCAGTGTGTTGTAACCGTGGGGCCACAAAAATGTGTTATTGTTTCAGCTTAATTGCATAACACCAACATGATAATCTCATTACCAGACGTGAACGAGCTCTTTGTCTGAGCTCTGAGCAAAGCAGGAAACAAAATGAAATTAGCAGTGAGCATGTTTCCTCTTGTGTCAGCAAAGGTATGAGCAAATATTTACATCACTGAGGCTACTTGTAAAATGAACTATTAATAAACGTGAAAATTAATTTCTTCATGACAATAAGTGAAAAGAGTTGCACCCTTATTTGACAGTTTTTAGGTGTGGCCTTTGGCTGCATCATTACTTACCTGCAGCCTCCATGGTTTTTCCCCTGAATGAAACATGATCATTATCTGATTTGAAGCATAAACCCTCCTCCTGAGCACTGAGAAGACTTATTAAAACTAAAGGGACTAAATGAAAAGGTTACTCCATGGGTTAGGCAAGCTGTTTTCTAAATATAATTCCTTTAATTTGTTCTATCTTATATTTCTTTTGATTAGGGCAGTGTGAGCAGAGGGAAACCATCATTTCTCTTCTTTGCCTCAATCTTTCAGTCCCTCTCTCTACCACTCACCTCCCTTCTCTCTGCTCATCACCAACCAGCACTTTCCCTGTATTCCCCATTGCTGTGTTGTCATGGTGACAGCGGTTGAATCTCATTTGCAAGTGTTTCATGTTTCCCCCTCACTGGAGGGAAAGCCCTGCAGTGCAGTGATGTGCTGCCTCGGTCCACTGACAAGAACTCATATTCAGTGTTTTCTCCTCATCTGCTGTCCTCTCTCGGACGGAGTTTGTTATCTGTATTGTACATTTTTCAAGTGAACACAACCCTGACGTGATGAAATACAGCTTTATTACTCACCATATACAGTTTACACAATTTGAAAACTATGTTTGTGTACCCAGAATGCTGCTGGAGCCGAAAACAGGAGGTAAAGAAACAAACAGCGGAAGCAAACAACTTTTTAATGCTTTTATTCACTGACTAAAAGAAGAGAAGCATTCATTCGACATTAATTCAAATCAACATTCGGCAGGTTGACCCCTCAAGTGTAGGCCATCTGTCAGTTAAGAGGTTTTACATGGAGGTTTGTAAGGTAGCCTCCCTTTTCTCCACAACATGAATCAACACTGTTGTCTATGATAAAATCTGCCCTCTGAGCTGGAGAGGACTCTTTCCCTGGAGGCCAAAACAAAAAACAGCTGGAAAGGTTTCAAATCACAGTTTGATATTATTTTAGTCTTAAATTAACTTAAGAGCAGCTACACAGATGTGTATTAAGCCAACTTCTCAACTAAAATGTTCTAATTCATGAGCAAATAGAGGAAAGTTTTGGGAGTGGAACTTAACTTTGCTGCTCCATTCTGCTGCTCACACTCAGGTATTTGTAAAACTGTGCTCAGGTCAGTTTTGACATGAATGACACATACTTAAAATACGCTTCATGTAGTTTGAAATCTGCTCCAGCTGTGTTTTAGGTTACGCCTGGTTCCCTGCTTACAGAAAGAAGGTAAAACCCACTGCTATGTGCTCACTTTAACAAACACAATCACACAGGAACATAACGCTCAGAATATTCAACATTAAGGATGGTAAAACCATTTTTGCAAAGAGAAAAAAAAAAAAAAAAAAACACACACAACATAGCTTCTGTTTTACAAAGTCTGTGTGATTTTATAATATACTTCATGTTCATAAATTGAACCCGGACATGTGTTGCATAAGAGTATACCACGGTAATGCATTGTTGATACCTATACAAATATGCACTGTGTGAGTTTATATATCTATTTATATAGTTTATATTTCTTCCTCTACGGTTTTCTAAAGACGCAGCCGGGCGCTGTCAGCACTGCTTGTGCCCCTTTGTGGCCACTAGTAAGACTGCTGTTATTGCAAACTGTCCTGATTTTAAACAAATGCACAACATTCGTACCACGATAAAACTGGGGCCGTCTAGCCAGTCTCACAGAGACCAAGAGTGAGCCCGCCGTCACCGCTGCTGTCGCTGGGCTGGCTGACCAGAATCAAAAGATCTTAAAACTAAAATGATAAAGATTTCATAAATCATCATAAGGCCAAGTATTGTCATTGCAAGTTCTTAGTTTACGTCTTCATTTCTACTGCGTGACAGTGAGAACAAGAAAATCTAAATGAAAAAAAAATAAATAAATAAAGAAAAATAAAAGAGAGAAGAGTGTGGATTATATGCATTCCTCTTGCATAGTTGTGAGGCTGGACTGGGCAGCAGGCCTGCCTGCCTGGCTAATTAGGAGGTTTGGCTCTCCAGACTTTACAAGAAAGACTTTGTTTAGCAGCCAGAAACATCAGAGCCACAGTAGCTGAGATCTAAATGAAGATAGTTGGCTGACACTGAGCATGAATATCTATCAGTTCATTTATACAGCCGGGCGCTACACCAACCCCCGGGGTGTGCACCACAGCTACTGACAGAGTTTGGCCAGGTTATGCTTTCAGTGCCATTTTGTTGTTTCTTCTCTAGAAATACAATGTGGCAAGTATATGATAATACCCTTAATGTCACTGTTATTCTGAGATGATCATTACAAGCTGTCTGGAAAATCAGTTTCAGTGTCAGCTGCGGCTGATATTAAAAACTGGAGAATCCAAACTTCCTCTAAGGCTCTCAGTGTGGCTAACTGCTAATGGCCTTGCCCTGTGTGAACCTCCCCTTCACTGAGATCCTGTCTAGCTTTATACACATCTATCTATATCTGTTACACAGGACTGATTTTATACCAGTGCAATGCACATCCAGTGTTTTTCTCCAAGTTACAGAAACATATATCAGGATGTTAATGAGATTCTTCACATTCCTGCACGAGTCCAGCCCAATGTGAGCCTATTCAAAGTCTTGCATGTACTGGTAGTAGTCTATGGTCTTAGCATTTAGGTAAAAACACAACACAAACAGGAAGCATTTGAAATCTCACATTGTGATGAAGAAACCCCGTCTCTTAACAGTAATCCTTTCAGAAAAGAGGTTAAGGGAAGGTTTTAGGCCCAGAACCTTCTAACTACCTCTTTTCTACGGCTAGTTTTACTCTCTAAAACATTGCACACATCCCGAGAGTCAACATCTGAAACTCTCAAGTTGGCATCGAGTCTGAGCAATGATCAGAGTGGAAGTGAAACCGGTCATGTCTGATGTGTGTCTGCCTGTGGCTCTGAGCCCGTTTACACTGATGCAGATCTGACACAGTCTGCTGCTTTGGTACTAAAACAACACACGCTAGCACATCTGTCCATGTCTATGGTGTTAGTATTGGCTATCAAGTATTAGCACAAATGTGTCAACTCTGTGTTAATGGGCCTGGTAGTAGGACAGACGCACCCAGATCCCTGTATATCTATAGCTCTGCCATCACAACAGTTTTAATAAGCTGTCAAAGGCCGACTGTATCAGATGGATTACGTTAGAGGCCAGCTCTGTGGATTCAATTTCCCATCAGGTCACAGGGGCCCTGATATCTTCCAGGATTTCTCTATGAATGCATATAAAGAGCACAGAAAACAAAAAACATAAACAAAACATTAACAGGTCAGAAGGGCAGATTGAACTGGCTGCGACTGCATCAATGTACAGTAATTGCTGGTAATGGTCTCCTGAATGACTGACACCTCATCTCCCCTCTAGAGCCTTCAACATTGTCATTAGAACGGCAGAACTCATTAAAAATAAGGCTCTGCTAGCTGTGTGTCAATCAGTCGCTCTGTGTACACACAGTATGGTCATACACAAACCTCTGTCTGCATATGGTGTATAAATAAGCCCAGTCCAGACTCAAGGTACCCATATTGAATATGGCCTATGTGCATTCATGTGTGTGCTAAATACGCAGACTGACTTCCTCTTGATGTACTGTGATGTTTGATCCAACAGATGAAACCAACTCATGTCATGGGAAGAGCAGCTAGTCCTCATATTTAGCACACAGTCAGTGTGAGGTGCTTTCACACTTGTGACCTTTTGTGTACCCGACACTAAAGGCCCCAAAATGGCCTTGGGATGCTGGAGCATCAGGTGAAAGCAAAGCTTGGCGTCGCGGGAACACACAGTAGAAACACATACGACCTTTAAAAGAGCAACACACTTTAAATAACCACCTCGAAATGGTATCACACCTCCACTCTGCTCAGACCAGCTGCTAATCTGGTGTGACTAGTCGATACTAGCTGCGTCCCTGATCCCTTCGAAAACAGACCAACTCATTAAAAGTAAAAAAAATATAGTATATATTTATATAGAGTCTAATTTTCATGCAGACACTTAAGCCATATAGTAAACTGTTTGCAAGTCAGATGGCCTGAGCGACCCCCATGTGGAATGTCCTGCTCCTAGCAGATCTCTAGCAGCAAATCACTTTACAGCTCCATAAAGCCCGGGACTAAAAACTTCCCATCAAATCTGACCTTGGCCACAGGCTCGCCATGAATCATATCAGACCAGGCATGCCAACCTGTGTCCCAGCTGGGAAGCTACAAACTGTCAGAAATAGCTTCAGGAAGCATCAGAGGGAGTGTTTAGTCCCTGGCATGTTCTGAGATTAAACCAAACTGTTCGTCCTCCTCGCCTTTAGTTTTACATTCACTCACTCCTCACAGTGAAACAGGTGATGGGAAAAAAAGAGAGAGGGAGGAATATGGTGGCCAGACATCTCTGCTTCTGTCACACTATAGAAGTATACTGCACTGGACTAGAAAGGCCTTGCTTTGCTCTACGATGCCTCAGCAACATGCAGTGTAGACCCTGAGTGCCATTCACAGATAGGAATTTGGCCACTTTGTACAAGTTGTGCAACAACTCTGCTCACCCTCAGTAAGTATGTTGGTTAGAAATGTCTAAGTGTGCCTTCCAAACACACACACACACACACACATACACTGTATACAGCTAGTGTGAAATCCTACATTTCTAAACATAGGGTGCTGCAACGGACACAACATTGGCCAAATCTTTGTGCACAGGTCTGCTTTGGTCTCTTTTCATGCCAACCACAGACTGTTGACACCTGGTCCAGCACAGTATGGCCCATAGTATATCAACAGATTGGTAGTAGTCAGAGTTCAGTGGAAGAAACCATGAGTGGAGTGGAACCACTAAGGTTAAGGAAAAAGAACAAAATGTCAGAATAGAAGGAGGTGTAGTAGAGTAGGAAAGAATACTGGACCAGCCTCCTGCCAATGTGTGCGTACATGGGCACTTCAGATAGACTTGTGTCTGGGCTAAGTTTGTTCCACTGTGGTCTTTGGCAGCTTAAAAACACATCAAGGGAGGAGAACAGATCCAGTGACTCCTACTATTCATATGAGTGAGCTAGAGGCCTGAGCTATTGTAACTTTCCCTCCTCCTCCTCCTCCTCCTCCTCCTCCTCTTCTTGAAAACCGATTGTACCCTGAGAACGAAGGATTTCTGTTGCTGTTTCCTGCTGCGGTTGAAGTGATAAGACTATACTGCTGAACATGAGCAAGTCTCCCATTAAATACAAATACACACACACACACACACACACACACACACACACACACATGCAGAAAACATGACGGCTGCACTGCTGACAACTTGTTCATACACAGTCATACCATCTTATTCACACATTTCTACTGGGTACACTTTTGAAAGCTTACATGAAACCTTGCGCAGAAGATACAAGAATGCTCCGAGAGCAATTAAAACGCGTGTGCTGAAACATGTTCTGAGACCCTAGCTAGCTTCTAATGCTGCTTCCCTAAAGAGTGAACTAACAATCACAGCAACATCTACAAACAACACAGAGCTAGTAACTTGGGGAGAGCAGAAGGTTGAAAAGCAGTGAGACTCCAGAAGCTTCCAGGCACAAGATGGCTCAATATTTAGCCATGAGTGATGAAACAACAGGATCAGGGATCAGTCATTTTCCCACTGATAGGAGTTTTCAAATGCTGTGCCATACTCTGACCATGTTTGCCACCTATGTTGCCAAACTCTATGGGAGTGTCTCACTTTGTCTCTTCTCTCCTTGTGAGGACAACACAGAGCTCTTTCCCTGCCATCTTCACTAAAATGTGGGTGTGTTTTGTTGAAGAAACAAAAACAAATAGAAGCAATAATAAAGAAGACATGGTTTTGCAGTGCCTCTCTGCTTTCATGTATATTCTCTGCATCATCTTTCACCTTTCTCTCTGCTTTTGTGTGACTGTAAATATTTCTATAATCGAAAATTCTCAAAAACTTTAACTTTTGATAAAGAATTTGTCCTGGAGCCTCCATACAGGCCGACTTTTTTGTGTGTGGGAGTGAAATTTATGATTAGAACACCACTTTTTTTTATATGTTTTCCAAATGGGAATATTATAGTTAGAAAAACCTCAGCCCCTTCTTTTATTTTGGGTTGGGTGTGATCTGACTAGCGTGGAGCCAATAACACGCAGGGACCTGAGAAGAGGAAGCACACATGGTGGGTGAGAGTGGAGTTTGTAAAATCAGCTTTTTACAATGTTGTCTGTTGTTTGTAAAAACCTATGTGCTCAGCTCAGGTGACTATGTGGAGTGAAATTACATTCTACTGTTGAGTGCTATGATTCTTCCCTCCTTATCAGATAATGCCTTTACACAGTACAAACCTATAACAGCTTAAGTCTCACATAAAGGAGCAAAGTTGAGCTATAAAAATGAGATGAGAGGCAAAATTAGACAAGAGGAGGAAGAAGATAAGATAAAAACCAACATAGTTTGGTCTGAATATGTTATGTTGGTACTGCTATCCTCTCTGAGTGTGTGAGTGTGCAGCTCTATATACAGCCACGGACAGCCTTTCAAAGAAATTCTTGGTACCAGAGTGCATTTATCCTGAGATATGGACCAAGGACTAGAGAGATTATCATGGCTAAACCATCAAGGTCCCGTAACAGATGAGCAAACATTTGGTAACCACAGGCCCGCCACTAGGACCAATTCTTTCTGAACCATGCAAAGTGCTGGCACACTGTGTAATTCAGGATCCATATCAGTCCATGGAAAAACTGCAGGTCAACCTTGGAAACTACAGACCTTGATATGGACCTTCACAGTCTTTGATGCCATTGTCCTGACTTCTAAAGCGCCATGGTGTGCAAAACAAGTGAGCTGAAGCCATTTGGGAGGGTGAATTTCCCGACAATGGCTGCTTGACAGCATTTACTACTGAAAGTTTAGCGCTCTACAGCCCAACATAACTCCGATTTTCCTGGTTAAAATCCCAGCTCTGCTCAAGAAATGCCTTAGTAAGACACCAGTGTACCAAAGCTGTCATAATGTTTCAGCAGTCACAACACTGAAGGATCAGATTTAACCATACTCGGCCCAGTCATCTGGTCATAAGATATTTGGTCGGCAATGCCCGGCTGGAGCCCTGACAATGGCACGCTTGTACTTCTACAGAGTGAAGTAAAAAAAGTATTTCATTTGTTAGGGCAAAGGCGACCCCATTCCCCGCCGTCGTAATTGTCAGAAGCTAGAATCAGACAACAAAAGCGACTATGATTCAATCAAAGTCGTGCCTTCGCCCTAGTTAATGAAAGCCTGAGGAACAAGCAGTTGCACAGCCAGACAGCCTCCACTGTGCCAGGCAGAAATCACTTCACCCCAGAAAATTGACTACATTCAGTTCAGACATTAATTGGGCCCAGCAGGTCATCTTATCGACAGCATGGATTTCCTTCACTCCACAGCTGCTCTCTGTCCCCCACAACAACTACTGGAGATATAAAACATGTGCAATGAGCAAACAGGTTTTGCCATTCTTCAGTCTTTATCAACCTTAATCTTTGAAAACAAATGTATGATTAGGTTTACTGATCCCCCCAACTGAGGTGGAGCCAGGGTTTATCAGATGGCAAGATAAACAACATCATTAACAACAACAACAACAACAACAACAGTATCCAGAAAACAAAGGGCTATTTCCAAGGCAACTGTGACTCAAAGGAAATTAAAAATAACAACAACATCTCACACTGATTGTTTCACACATCCTACTCGACATCATCACCACCGCTGTCCTGATCATAGTGATGGTAAAAGCCTACCTGAGACTGACAGAATGTTTTCGCCACAGTAATACGCCACATGACCCAAAATCTTGTTGTGCTGTAGGTGCCACTTCTCGAAAAAAACCCCACTGTTGGCCGTCAGTGGAACCTACAATGTCCAAACACATTTATCTAGCAGCCATGACTGTTGTGGCAAGATATGCACCTGCCAAATTTCTGAGGCAAATATAGTTACACAGTAGGCCTTCAATAGAAAACAAAAACCTGACTGGCCAACAGAATGAGAGATTGAGAGTTTAGGTACATTCAGTGCATCCTTTTCTTTTCCCTGCTCTTTACCATGAAACGTTTTTACTCCATAACAAGAAATCCACTGTTGAGAAAAACTAGTTCCGGCCTACAAAGCTGCTGGCGTGACTGCAAAACCTGGGTTTGGTATTTGCCACCTTGGGAAGCGGTTTTGTTTGCATGGCCGCACCAAGAATTTGGAAGTAGTCAGAGATTTCTTAAATATATATATGGCATTATGGAATCGAAACCTACTTCCTCTTTAGAATAATGCAGAAGTATTTGAAGGTTTTTTTAATCTCAGTGCCCTTCATATTATGATGCACGCTCCATTTCTTTTCTTTAACTTGAAGACTTGACATTTTAATACCAAAAGGCTCTGGAACCAGTGAGAATACCAGTTAGAAAGTTTGGACCTCTAAAGGAGAGCAAAGGCAGCTATATTCATCCTGAATACAGAAAAAAAGATGCACAGATTTACTACCAGCTTACTACAGATCAAGATAAACAGAGCGACAGGGTGTTGTATTGTGACGGCTGAATCTTATAGTTTGACTCTGAACGTCACCCGGAAGACGAGGCTCCCTATTTAATCGACTCGCTAGGTTTTCCCGAAAAGTCGACAAGTGAGCAGGGTGGGAAGTGTGTTGGCTGTAAGCATGTAACAATATTCTCCATAACACCATCAGTAAGGTGCTCAAGACCCTTACTAAAACCATTTACAAATGATCACAAATCAGTCATAGCACTGACATGGTTCTTGCTGAAAACAGCATTACAACTGATTAGCACCTGCCACAGTCAGCCACGGTACAGTGGAGGTTCCCACCCTGCTGCCAAGGCTCTCATACTAGTGGACAAGTGCACAAGGTGCTCTATCAGAGCAACAGAAGAAGCAGCTAAGGTTGTGTTACTCAGGAAGTGATTGATTGGTTAGTTTACTAACGCCAACGTTTGCTAGAAAGGAGCGGAAAGACAGACCGACACAGAGCAAAGGTTAAAAAAAAAAAAGAAAAGAAAAATATGTTCACTAAACTAAATAATTGCCCCCCCCCAAAATCCCACCGGTCCATCACTCAACCTGCCTGCCTGTCCTGTTCTAGGTGTGAGCAGGATAATAATATATCTGTTTTTAAATACACACAAAGCCTATACAGGCAAGGGAACCACCACACAGGAAAAACAAGATAATACACAGAGCAGGGAGAGATGACAAAATGTCAACTAAAATGAGAAAAAGAAAAAAAAAAATCAAGGTTACATCATACAGAGGCTCTGGAGGTTATTAAGGTGGAGGAGAGACATCGAGCTCTGAATACTTGTCGATCAAGACCAGACCAGACCAGACTGGGCCATGCCAGACAAGGGGACATTTGAAGCAGTAGAGTGACCCATTTTAACAAACAAATTTAAAATGATCATGACTCAAGTCTCGCTTGTGGCCAGGGACCACAGATTGGTATGACTCCAAACTAAACAAATATAAAGTTTTAATTTGAATATCCCATTTCAAAATGGGATATTCACTGGAAAATGTGTTAAAACATGTAAGATTTCATCTGTTTTTCCAAGCTACTGACTAGATAATTAAGAGGCAAAGCAAGAAAACAGGGAATGATTTGGAAAATGGTAGGACTTGATTGTGTGCTAAAACTCCTGGGAAAGAAATGCAACGTATGTAATAATTATATTATTATTACTGTTGTGAAAATAATATAAGTAAATAAAAACAACCAAGTCACATCAGCTCACATAAATATAATTCATTGATTAGTTTAAGATCCAGTTTAGATTTCTCACTTAGGTCTGCTTCTGGCCTTGTTTGGAAGTCTGAGCTGACTTGGACTTGGTGGGTCTGGCCTGGTCTTGACACAGTTTAGGCTGTGATGTGTTGGACATGCTGTCCCTGCCTACATGCCCATGCTGAAGGCGTGCAGCTCGCGGTGGAAGTGCTGGGTGGGTTCGGACAAAACCAGGCTGGAATCCAGGCAAGGGTGCCAGACGCGGCCGAGGCCCAGGGAAACCTCCTTGACCAGGTTATGGACTGGGTCCCCCTCCATGCACACAGACTGGTCTGGATCGAAGTCGATGCTCTCCTCAGAGACGGTCAGGATGCGAAGGCTGGAGCCTCGCAGCCGAGAGATGGCTACCAAGTTATGGGACCATACAGTGTAACCTAAAGAGAGAGATGTGTTCAGGGAGGTTGGACTAATAAGGATAAATAATAAATACACTGCACAGCTTTACACTTGATGAACCACTGGGTACAAACAATGACATAATATATGATGATACTGGTTGTAATCATTGTGATTGGAATTCCTTTTTGTCACTCATCATTGCCTCATCTCACATAGCTGCCTAGAAGGAACTTTTATATGAACACAATGCCTGTAAATGGCATTTGAAGGTACCGAAAAACAGAAATGTGAATTGCAATGCATAGAGACCAACTGTTGTAAAGGATTTGAAGACATGCTATTTAAAAATAAGCAAATCTTTTTGTTTGAGATTTCACTTCCCACACAGAGAACTGCTACCCCACAGACACAAAGCAGGCCTTAAAGCTGCTCTAATCAATACTTTTACATAACTATGGATGAAATGATGTGTAATGTTTAAGTTGTTTCTCACAGAAACTAACTCATAAATTATGACCACCAAAATCTGCAGTTATCCTCAGCGCATTGCTTTCACTTTGTGCTACAAGCAACCTGTTTGGTTCACTCTCACTCTCATCAGCTTTGTTTCCCAACATAGCAGGAAGTGGTTTTCAGTGAAAATAAACCCACTTTATGCGACCTGCATAGCACCAAACACCAGACAGACAAACTAAGTGACTCACTTGATAACATTTAGCAGCTAACAAGCTAAATGTTTTTTCTCATGAGGTGGTGGAGAGCAAAACAAAGCTAAAAGATGACGGAATATTGGACATAAATCCATCAGGTGGCCCGAAACACAACCACAAATAAATGCTAATGTACCTCTGTGTCTACTGGATGTGTAAATAGCCAGCTGTTTGCTAACCATAACTGCTACTGTTGTATTAACAGTTTTTTGTATTGCTACCTCTTGGGTGAAAACAACAACAACAACAGCAACAAAAATGTGTCAAGCCTAACATATTAGTGGCTTTCAATGGCCAGCCATGGTTGCATCTCACTAGGGCTGGGCGATACGGCCTAGATAACACTGCAATATTTTGAGGCTATATTGCAATACACAATATGTTATATCTCAATGTTTTGAAATCTTCTCTAAACCTTTGTAGACTACTAAAACACTAAACTACTAAATAAACTACTGTTAAAGTAAAATAAAATACAGTTATAATAAAGTTAGATGAAGTATTATTAAAATTAAACTTCTGCTCAGATGTTAGCAGTTAGCATAGACTTAAACCGTTACAGCTGCATTATTAAACTTAATGATTTATTCACTACAGTTCACAACATTTCCCCACTTCATATACTAATAATATCGACAAGTCACCCTGGTGCTCCATGGCTGCAAAATGTGATTAAATGGTCACAGCCTGGAGCACTGCAGTCACAAACACACACCTCTCCTGCTCACTCACCATCAGCCAGGAGAGAGTAGTCTGGATTAGCAGGCAAGCGTGTGTGAGACGCATCATGTTTGTGAGTCTTTTCTTTCCTTTTTGTGTTGGTGAGACAGAGAGCCAAAGGAGAGAGCGAAAGAACCAAAATGCTGAAGCGAATCTCATGCTGTGGCTTAAAAAACTGATGTGATAATTTATACACAGTGTTTGCGATATAGTCATTTTATACACCCCATATGGAAAAAGCCGCAATACACCAAGTATAATCAATATATCGCCCATTCCTACATCTCGCTACATCACTACTGTATGCCCCATTATCTTGAATTACCATGAGTACAACTAATGATGCCACTGAAAATTAGAACATTGATTTTGGAAAGTTCACATTTCTTGAGAGCAAAGCACTTTTGACAAGCACAGCTGAATGAAAAACTTTTTTTAACAGCTGAACTGGAATTAATGTATAGTAGTAGTAATATGTGATGAAAAGCAATTAAGTTTTAAATTAAATGTCAGTATTGTTTCTCTTGGCTTCCAACCCATAGTTTGGTCTAAACCAATACAGCAACTTGTGTTTTCCATCATACAGTTGGCCCAGTACAGACCAGAATGAACCCAACTGTATATCCCTGAAACAACAAGCCGAACTCACCATGTATGACGAGTACAGCAAGCTGAGTACACCTCCATGCCATGAGGACCAACGGGTCTTCGTTCCGATTGATGCTGAGGTCAGGGAAGTCGGGGTCATCCCTCAGGAGGAGGAAGTGAGTCAGCGTTTTGTTGTACTGCTGAGAGATGAGCTCCAATGTAGCGTCAGTCACCAGTGTGCTATAGCTGTCGAGGTGGAGGCGCTCCAGGGGAAGGCTAGGCTTCAGGACCCTGAGGAGCTCGGAGCTGTCGACCTCCAGGGCCATGATGTACACTCGCAGGTTGGCACTCACACGAATCTGTGGAGGATCAGGGAAACCTGACTCATGTACACACAGATTTGTTCTAACTCAAAGCTGGAGGCAGCAGTATTAAGCTCAAAAAGTGGCTATGTAACTGTTGTTTCATTGGCATGGGGCATTTCAAACAATCACATCTTGTTATCAAATAGAGCAAAAGGTTTTCTTGGAATCTTCTGTTTTCCAGGGATGCCAACGAGACTGAGAAACAATGAAACATGCTGCATTACCAGTGCCTTCCAATCGTCCTCCGTAGCGGTCCCTTCTAAAGGTTTGAACTCCAAGGCAGCCCCGTTGAGCAGCAGGGAGAGGCGATGCAGTGGAGTTCGGCGTGGAGATGCCAGCAGACCACAAAGCTCAGATGTCAAATCAGAGAAATCCAGAGCCAGAGAATGAAGATTAGACAGACGATCCAACTCTGATGGTGAGATGAGGGGACCTGGGAGAAAACCAAGAGAGGTTACAATTTGTACAAATGTAATACACTTCTACAACCATGACTGTTATCAAAGCTATAGGCTGTTATGGATTTAAACCAATGAAATCCTTTTTCATTGAAGCTATAACTACATTTACACAGTTACAGACAAAAAAGATCCAGAAACACACCAACACGTACCTAGCTGGTGGTCCAGTAAACTGAGGTGCTGCAGGGTCTCAGCTGAGGGATTTGACAGACAGGCTAAGGAGCAGGGAGTCACCAGACCCAGCATAAAGCTACAGGACAACCACCTCAGCTGCCTGCTGTTAGACAACAACTCCATGAACAACTGCTGGATTCTGCAGAGTACAGGGTAGGAGGAGGAGGAGAGAGGGAGGAAGAGAATTAGCATCAATTCACTTTGCCAGCATGACCAAAGCTTCCTGCAAGTTAAATTTAAGAAACCACAAGAGCGGTGTTTGCCAGCTCAAATCAAATTAAGTCACATTTCATCCTGAAAATAAACCTTATGAGTATATAAAGAAAATAAAGGCTCAATATACATTTGTGGAAAGAGGAAGATACCCAACAGAAAAACACTGCACTACGAAAATGTAATATTTTTATGATTTTATATAAAATTGTAAAACTGATTAAATCAAAAGAACATCCCACCTAAAACTCTGTTGTGGCCTTGATTTAGAAAATTCAACTCAAATATTTACTCAACACACAGACAATACTTGGGCAGTCTGGCCAATTATATTCCAACACATTTTGTTTAAAATATTTGTCTAAATTGAGGTTATTAAAAATGATCTGGCATCATTTAGGTTGCGCTGTATTCTCCAGACCTGTTCTAGGAAGTAGAACATAAGGAGGTATCAACTGACATTGTATTTTAGTGTAATGCCATCCTCCTCATCACGACTGAGTTGCAGAACAAACCCACACTGGTTGCCATGTATACAAAATCCTGCCCTACCAAAAGGGAGAGGCTATAGAGATTGGCAATGACCTGTATACTGTTCTGGATCAATGGGCTGTGTATGTTGAAATAGGTCCAACATGTGCAACATGAAGGATATATTGTTATACTTAAAAAAGCCCGATGTTTCCAAGCCAAAGCTGAGAGAATTCTACTGTTATCAACAAGGTCATTTTCTCATATTTTAGAGGCTTGCATTAACATAACTTCACATTTGACTGAAGATTCTAATTTTTTATAAGAGTCAATATCTGCGAATTAGCATGCTGGCACAGTGGTTCATTTAAAAGCATGACATCATTATTTGCTCTCTCAGTCTCTAAACAATCCCTCCCTCTTCAGAGACTGCAATCCAAAGAGTCTGCTGCACCTTGGCAGTCTAGGCTACATTATACCAACAGTTTGTTGACAGAAAGCTGTTCACACACAGTGAGCGTGTTTAATGTTGTGTGCTGTGGTGTGGTGAAGCTAGGGGTGCTGTGTGCCTGCTGACTGGATGATGATGACAAACTGTTTTACGAACGCTGCCCATTTTCTTTTTTTTAAATTTATCATCCTTCAGAAACACCAAAAAAACACATGCTGTTTCCAATGACAAACAAGGGATGTAATACTCTATCAACCACCTTTCAGTTTTGTGCCTCTGCCAACCAGTCAAGTTGCATTTTACATCCATGTGTCCAGACTCACATGTAGCCATGATGGAAGGCAAGACAATGCTTCAAATAATGATGATGTTGAATATATGGATGTTTCACACACACCATCAATCCGGCAGCACAGAAGATCTACACAATCATTACAGATACAGGGTGGACACCCAAGATTAGTGTCACCAATTCAGTATCTGACTAAATGTCTCCCCTTTTGTTCCTGAGCTATGGCGCTGAAGAACAGCCAGAGAAGTCTTATTGCATAACATTATGATGTCACGGTGAAATAAACCTTTTACCTTTTAGATATGGAATGTTATCATTTTATCCTGTTTGACATTTGGGTTAAATTTTGTCCTTATTAGCATCTGAATTCTTAGGTTATGGCCAAAAACATGTTTTGAGAGGTCACAATGACCTTGACCTTTTACCATCAAATTCTGATCAGTTAATTGTTGAGTCCAACTGGACGTTTGTGCCAAATTTATGTAAAATCCCTCAAGGTGTTCTTGAGATATTGCGTTCATGAGAGTGGGATAGATGGACAGACGGACAACCCAAAAATATAATGCCTCCACCTGCGGCTGTCACCAGAGCAGACGCATAAAAACACAACAAATATTATCTTGTCCATTCATGTTCTGCAATGAATCAATTACCATAGAACAATATTGTCGCAGTCCTATATAAAGTATGTTTTAGTTACAATGCAAATAACCACTCTGTGGATAGAGACAAATATTGAATCTAACCATTTCTGACATTCAACACAAATGGATGTTGTTATGCTCGGGCTTACTCATTGATCTTTTTGTCCCCCTGGTGAATTTGGTGCAGGTTGGAGCTGTCCAATAGTCCCTCCTGCTGCAGAATACAGGTGTCTCCGTATAGGCTGAGCTTTCGCAGATTTCTAGACAATGAGAGAGACAGAACGTTACAAATGTAAAAAAGAAACAAGAAGTAAACAATACGAGATTGATTTATGCTAACAAGTCATATTAGCAATATTTTTTCAGGTTCTGAGCTAAGCGCTCTCCTTTGAGATGACAGACAGTTACTACCTTCAACAACAATGGGCTCAGCAAGTCATTTTCTTCAAAATGAACAATTGGAAAACATCAGTGTTACCCCTTTCCACCAAATTTGCTCTGGTTCTTAAACCGGTTCTGTTCAGGATTCACAGAACAGTGGTACTAGTAAACCAGTGAACATTTCCACCAGTTTTGCGCAGAACCATTGTAATCAAGAATGTGTCATCAACGGAGGGCGTTGCACAATGCACAGCAGAAGTAAAGAATAACAAAAGTAAATGTAAACATTGTTTTTTTATTACAGAAATGCATTTTTTCCCCAAAAACAAATGGACCAACTATTACAGAGACCACTGCATGCTCTTTCTTCTTGCCAATTTCTCACTTGGCCTTTCCATTGTTGCCTTCTCCATCTTCTCTTTCCTATCTGTAGAATATGACACGCCCACTGATGTTGTCATGGTTCGCACTTCAAATCAAGGAAGATCTGCTATTTTTTGGTTTCATCTGAGAACCAACTTTTTAGGACCTGAACCAGTTTAGGTTCAGTAACAGGAACAAAACCTGTTCCATGTTTTTAGAAAAGGGGTAAAAGTGGTGCCTCTCATTAAAGAGACACCTGTGTCACAAGTAAAAGAATGATATCCCATTATATTTTGTGGCCTGTTCTTTACAGACTGACTAGAACCAAACCTAGTCACATAACAATAAAAGGATGCTTTTATGGTCACCTGTTTGCTTTGTCAACATTTGTTAAAGTCATTACTACTTTAAGCTGTGTATCTGGTTCTATCACATGGAGTGCATAAGGTGTGCTTGGAAATTTTCAACAGAGGCAGCAGTAGCTAGACTGGTGGTTAGGTTTAACCATTTCCAATCCAAACAAGGTTGGGGGTGGTTACCTCTTACCTCAAGCTGTAGCCATTTTGTGTAATCAAATCTAGCCCTGGTTCTGTATATTGCTGGGTCGTCTCCTATCAGGACAGAGTTATGGCTGCCTTGCACTTTGCTGCACTGCTGCCAAGGGCCCTTTATATCCTGGTACCCAAAATAGACAATCAAGCAGCAGACTATATGCCAAAAGTTGATGCTGTCAACAGCCGTAAAGGTAAGCTTAGAGGTCAAAATGCATCCAATTATCTTCTTCCAAACAGGCCGTCTAAATCTGTTTTGAAAATGATGTTTGGAAAATCACTGGTTGTAAGTTGTGGAAAAAGATTATTATGCAGCCACACGACATAAGCCTACCTGCTGGGTACTGTGTGCATTATGTTTGATGGAGCCCACTTCCTGTAAATGAGCTGAGAGCTAAGCTTCACAAAATGCCTCTGCAGTGAAACCAACAGCAGTCTCACGTGCAGCTACTTAGTGTGCAAATTCACTAGCAAAGGAACAATGAGTTATCTATTCTCATTATTTTGAACATGTACAAGTAGAGTTGGACCAGTGCTAGCTGAATGGAAAAACTCAATTTTGCCACCAGATAACATGGGAGCTGAAGTTAGATAGGACAGCTGGCATTTGTCTTTATCAGTGGTCAACTGGTTTGAAGTGATAAAAACTGGCAATAGCGCTGAAATAACATTAGCTGAGCATGACACATTTTACTATGACAAACTGCTAAAAATACTCACTTGCCCAGTCAACATTTTTATTGCTGATGTGCTATGGCACTGTGGAACTAAGGAACTGCACTTGGCCTGCAGCAATTTCTATTTGAATTTTAATACAGACTAGATCTGAAACCTAGATCCATATTACAACTTGCTACTCTACGGTATAAATGCAAATCTTCATAGCTTCCGTGGTATACAAGAAATCAATAAAATGTAATGTTTTATATTGACAGGAGATGAACCAAAGAAACCTTCAATTTCCAAATTCTGAGGTGGCAATAGCTTCTTAAAGAGAGAGTGCAATATTATCCACTAAAACCATGCTTACAAATCAAGCAAATTCAGTTTACAAACTGACATCTGAATGTACAGAATTTTGTCTAGTGTCCAACTGGAAATCATGCTAGAGTTAGTGTGCAGCATGGAACTGGGACACAGACCGGGTTCATCAGTCAGCTTATGAATGGAAAATGTTGAAAGCTGCTCAATGAGAAGAAGTCAGACAACAGAAATGGTTTCAGCCCCCTCAGCAGAACTAAGACATGAACTGCACAGCACTGGATGGGTGCTGTTTCAACACTACAAAGCACTGTAGAGAATAATAGAGAATGTGGGAGAAGGTGTATCAGAGAGAAGTTCTGCACTGTAATCAGGAATCTTAACATTCATAGTAACGTTTCACAGAATAGTAACTCCCACAGCTGACATTAGTAAGGTGGCTAGACTTCATGTATGCAGCACATAGGTGAGAACATCCAACAGTATGCAACGACATACCAGAGCTAAATGTGTATATACACATACACTGTATATGTGTGTGTGTCAGTGCTGATATCAGCAAGTCACAGCCAACAAAGCCTTCTCTAGCCACCACCAGTGCTGCATTGTATCTGCTGGTATGAAGACCCCAGTGTAACATAGAAAATAGAGCTGGCAACAATAGAAACACAGACGAGCGTTTGACTTGACATTGTCATAGAAGCATGTATCAGACATAAATCAGTATTTGGTTACTGAAAATGTAAGAATAACCAATAAATGCTATTGCAATGATGACGTCTTCAGAGATATTAAGAAAACGCTAGCTGCTAACTCCGCCGCAAAGACATGACCCTATTACGTAACTCCTAATGTCAGGGTTTGTTTATAGCTAACTAGCTAGCTAGCCGCTAGCTTACTGCGACGCACCAAATGCTATGAAATTACAAAAAGGAGATGGTGTCACGCGAATTCCTGAAATGTAATCAAAACACACACTCAGATAGGGGTTTTACAGCAAATTCAACTGTACCTGTTGTTGCGGATGCTGGAGAACACACACAACACCTGGTCCAAGTAGGTGGCCATGGCGTCTCTCCATCGCTCGGAGAGCTGCGGGTCGCTTTCTGGCTGGTCCATCCTGGTGGACGACGGTTCGTTGTTCAGAGGACTAAGGTAGCCTTCCACCGGAGCAAGCTCCAGTTGCAGCTCCCGCACGAATGAACCAAACTTACGCATGAGGAACTCCAGCCTCGGGGTCTCCTCCGAGCTGGAGCCTCCACCGTTACAACCACCACCTATCCGCAGCTTAAGCTCGGTCCACAGCGCGGGGTAGAAGAGACACTCCCTCCATCGTGAACACACAGCCGAGGCCCGGAGCTTGTCTCGGTCGGACAGAAAGGAGAATATGTGGACGATAAGCTCGCTGGGCAAAGCCATGGCTCCGACACCCCCGCACAGAGCCATGGCGAGCAAAGAAAGGTTTTGTCCGACAACCAACCAGATATAAAATAAATGTTACAACCGTTTTTAAAAATCGGTGCTGCAGCTGCGAATTACAGCGACGCTTCTTCCTCTCGTTGAAAACAAACCGTTTTTCAGCTTTGCCTTCAATACTATCGGACCGCACCACTCCTCTTCAGTGCACGGGGAACAAAACAATCCTACCAAATATTACAAAATGCCTGTAATGGGACATGTGTCATCATTTATATCTGGTAAAATTACGATGTTATTAATTCAACCATATCAATGCTTTACTTCATTTGTTTTATCAGCCTTTTGGTAATCAGTGAATGCATCGCCTCGTTGCCAAGTGAATGGTTTAGTCTTGAAGTGGTCTTATTTTTGCCATACTGCCGTGTTCCGCGGGAGGGCGGTATTTCCCGGCAGTAAAAGCTCAAGCCAACACGTGATCTTTATTTTGGAGGTGGTTCCCACCCAAACACAGCACCTCCAGCTCATGGCCCACAACACAACCAGCACAGATTGCAGAGGGTGAACAGCAACACACCACGACACAGAGTTTAAGTGACAAGAGTGTGTGACACTGTTAACAAAAGTGACATGCCTCACGGAAGTAGTTGTTAGAATTATTTATAGCATGAGTGTTGCACTGGATTGCATTGTAAAGCACACAGCTGTGTACCACTGACATCATACCTATAAACCTTTACTTCAACCTTTCATTAAAGAGACCAACAGAGTCTTTCATAATGAAACACACCTCATCTGCTTTCAGCCATTTGATCAATTACAATAACTTCAAAATTTAAAATTATTATTTGATTATTGTAATGGTAACCTGCTCCAGTGACGCTGCTAAGTCAGGTCAGGTGAGTGTTAGTGCAGATAGCCTCTTAAGACAGAAACATCACAGTTTGACATTAGTATTAGTATTTCTTTTGCCAACATTATGCATTTCCCCAAATATAATCAATCAAAACATAACATCAGCTGTTGTAGAGATCAAACCAGTGATAATGTTTTTACAGTTCAGTTTCTCCAAGCTGGTCAATTTTCTGCTCATGATTTTTAGACTTAAACAATTTAGGATGTGGTAGTAATGACAATGTGTTCTTCTTAAAGCAGGAGAGTCATTCAGTTCCACTTATCACCACAAGATAGCAGTGCAATGACTCAGCACAGCACCAGCAATGAACCAGATCCTCCTTAAAACTTTTCATCACCACTGTGCCTCTATCTTGTCCATTCTACTTCAGTCACAATCACTGATTTCCTGACAGGAAATTACTCTGAGGAGATGAGGCGTGGAGAGAAAAAGAGAAGATTCTCCCTTTAGGTCTAACTACTTAAAGGGTATTCTGGCAAAAAGGAAAAAAAAAGAGAGAATTGTATCTTACATGATTGACTGCAGTAATCTTATAATAAATGAACAAGTATGTCTGATGTAAAAGCCCATCTGTTGTAACTGTGGTAGAGCTGGGAAGGCTTTTATCTATGATGTATTAGTTACCGCTGGTTAATTTATGTCACATCAGATTTATTCTCTTTAAAGTGACGATGAAAACTACCTTAATATGGCAGATGCTCTAAAATGAAGAGGGCTTATTGCACATCAAAGCAAAGATCTAGGACCACTTAAAAATAGAGAGGAGGAAATGAGTGTGTTTCATGTGTGCTCCATCAGGCTCTCATCACTTAGGAGGCAAATCACAGGTATGATGTAGAAGAGATAAATCATGTTATCATCGACTACATAGATAACATTAAATTCATTTTACAGAGAACAAAAATGATCAAAATTACCTACATTTACAATTAGCCTACTCAGGAAATACAAATAAAGATAAACTCGGTAAACTCTTATTGAGGACTGAAAGAAAAGTTGTTTCACTTTTGGTGAATGTACTGTAGTTTATTAGTGAAATATATGTATTGATTCATATCACTGTGGAGGTGGGGAGGAGTTGTTATAATGAGATAATGAAAAATTTTATTTCAATTTATGAGCACATCTCTCATTCATCCATATACTCTGCTTTTGGGTGATGTTATTTATGGAGCCCAAGTATCAAATGAACAAAACATATAAAATAAATAATCATATTAATGAATTGTGTTTAAGAGCTATAATAAAAATGTGAAGATATGTCACATCATGTGGGATGGGGGAACCATCTTGTGAGGTGCGCACTCTGTTATCTCTCTTACCAAAGTGTGCGCACTCAGTCCCAAAATTACATAGTTTGCAATGTCCTGGTGTGTGAGTAGGGGTAGTTCATTGGGGTCATAGACTGTAAAAATAACAGATGTCACCCACTGGTTTGTGGACTCCTGTTTTAAAGCCTTGAGTTCAGCATTTCGGCTGTCAACATCTTGGTTTTTTGGAGCCAGAAGTGACCACATCTGGGTGAGAGGCTGGCACTGTGGAGTAACTTGTGTAGATCTGACCAAGAAGCCGAAATGTTAATTGGTGACTTATAAAAGAATTCACCCCCGGACAGTTGTCACAAATATTGAAATTAGCTATAGAGACCAACACTGTTTTTTTTGTACCAGGCTGTAACGTCTGCTGTAAAGTTGGACAGTTTAACATAGGGATCTAGGGGGATTAACTGGTTTCTGGAGCCAGCCTCAAGTGGCCATTAGAGGAACTTCAGTTTTTGGCACATGAGTGTTGGCTTTATTTTTCAGCCCCAGAGGTTGCCACTTGATTGGGGTTTGCAATCCAGCCCCGGACTGCCATCAAGTCATATGGATCTATGTTGTTTATCATGATCAAATTGTCCATATACCATTGCTTGACAGCTGCAGCAGGCACAGGTAACACAGCTCGATCCTTACAATAGGGCACCCCCATCCAAAAAATTTAATATGGTGTGATGTCAACTTCACATTCTCTGTAAGAGAACAGAAAACAAAACCACACCAAAAACAATGTCAAAATTCCTTATTTAAAATTCTATTTTTATTTCATAATGGCATATTCCTAACAGATCTTCAATTTAATGTCACATTTCATCATAAAATGTCACTTTTCAATACAGTCACACGCCTCCAGCATCTGTTTGCAAGTTTAACAACCACCCTTATTAATTATAACTGTTAGCAAAAGCTTTTGCTAGCAAAGTCTTTGGTGTCAGTGTTAAACAGTTCGGACAAAGTGATTCTGAGTCAACCAACTAGAGCCTGTGAATAAACACAGTACACAGACATAGCAATTAAACATGTCCTTTTATTTGATTTAACAAGCTGTAAATGCAACATTGCCCAAGCATGTAACAAGCCTGTTTGTGTAGCTTGAATTTTTACTCAATATCAGAGACAATGTTAGCTAGCTTCAAGTGGCCACAGTGACTGTAGAGACAGACCGTGTGTAGTTTTAATATTCACAGAGTCCTGTGTCTTTCTCTGATGGTAAAGATAAAGCGTGAAAGAGAGAAGAACATGACATCACTGGATGATCTATGTGAAGCAATCTTGTGCCATGGAAAAGGGTACTCTGGTTGAAAAAAACTTTGAGTGTATTTTGTACAGATAATTATTTCATCCATGTGTTAAATCAGGCTGCAGAGTTTCCTGTTAGTGGGATCATCTTTTTAGCAGAGCTCTGGCTTGCTGCTGAAGTGTCCTTGAGCAGGACACTTACTTGCTGGCTGATCCTGCACCCTAACTAGAGGGCAAAACACACTTCTCCTCTTCAGAAATTAAAGCACATTGCATCAAATAAAGCGGAATGTCACTGAATACCAATGTGCAGGAGAGACGAGCCAAAACTATCAATCTCCGCTACCCAATTGTGAGATAATCTGTTTTATTTCCACCTGCAGAGTCTGATGGCAGCTGCTACGGCTCTCATGGTGATACCTTAATGATCCTTCACACGTCGCTCTGTGGTAAAGATAAGTACTTCCCCCATGATGAATTTGTGTCTGTAAAAACAAGAACAAAGTCTGTTGATTGCAGCCAAGTGTAAGTGGTGAAAATTCGGTGACAGCAGAGGCAAAAAGAAAACTATTTATCATGCTTGCCAGTTTAGGCTTTTCAGCTGTGGTTTCCATTACCTAGAGCCTTCACCAGGCTGTCGTCTTTGCCGCAGCCTGCTAATCAATGACATCCTTACAAACTCTATCTGTGTGCTCTGATTGCTTGCAGACGTGTTGGTGTCTTCCTCTGAATACTCATCAGCTTTTACTGCACAGACATTTTTCTGTCTGCATTCCTCTGCACTACCCTATCACTGGGACTATTTTAATGCTGTGATGCCACCAAGCCAACATTCTGCCAAAATGCGTGTGTGGAACAATTTTCAGATCGCTCACTCTCAGTCCCAGTGAAGACCAGATAGTTTTGTGAACTTGAGCCTTGTAGGCAAACAGATGCATTTAGTGCTGAATCACCTGGTGTCACAGCCTGCTGCATGTCCACTGCAAAGCACTGGGTGGTGGTAGAGCTCTATGACTGACTGCTGCTGCCTCAATAACACCATAACTGCCTCAGTGAGGGAATAAAATAGAAATGCAAACCATCAAAGATAGATTAGAAAAAAAAGCATAAACAACTGAAATTTAAATATCACACACAAAAAAACTAGGGCAATAGTTATACAATGATTATACCTGGTAATATTATGTACATGGTTAGTGCAAATATACTGTATATACTGTACTGTATTTACTGATATAGCACGTTGCCTCAATGGAATACCCATGAGTATTTTCGGAACAACTATACAGCAATATATATATGCATACAGTTCTGTACAGGTATGTAAAATGTGTGTAAAGGCATGTAATACACACAAATGTATGCACAGGTATGTAATAAACAGGCAAATACATTGAAAGCAAGATAGTAGATGATAATAAGAACAAAAACATTCAATGATATTGTTAAAACTGAAAAGTGCACACCTATCGTAAACAGTTTGGTGATTAGAGATAAAAACGTAATATTATGAATGCCACAAAATGTATGTCAGAAGTTTGCCCTGGAGAAGAGAAGAGTTTATTTCAATGTCTGTGTAACTGTGCAGTTATGATAATACTAGAAAATGTACATTAACACCAGTCTATGTGGCTTCGCTTAAAGAATAATGGCAAAC